GCTGCCAACAAGACTGTAGAGCATTACTTGCTGCAGTTGGCACTGAAAACAATTTCATTTTTCAGGTATCTGGTTGAGCATGCTTTTTCAGAGGGCCCAGGATGCCCCCCAGTTCTGACAGGCCATCCCGCTGTTGCACTTGCCCCTGCAGTGGGGGGCACCTCGGCCCTGCCCCTCCCGTGTCCCTTTTCCCCATCTGGGTCTCCAGGTCTCCACCTCAGCCGCTGCCTCCCCCGCTCCCTAACGGCTCTCTCCCTGCACCTGCCTCTCTCAGTGTCTCCTGTCATTGCCCGTCTCTGAACTGGGGCCCCTGCAGGCCACCTTGGCATCTCTTCTCCACAGTGGGTGGGATGCACAGCCGGGCTCCTGGGTCCTGAGCTGCTGGGGCCAGTGATGGGCGGGGAAGTTGGAGTAGGGCAGCCCTAGCTCTTAGCCTCAGCACCATTCTTCCCTGGCTTAGAAGCACCACTGCCCCCTTCTTGGGCCTTGGTTTCCACCTCTGTGAAATGGGACATGAACCCCTCTAGTGCTGGCCTCTTGGAGCAGTTATGATGGTTCCGGGACTGAGAAGGGGCTTCATGATCCCTCAAGTGCTGTGTGTAGCCGGGAGGTGGTTGTGATTCCTCTGGGGCTGCAGATTAAAGAGCCTGCCTGAGGGGCTCCCTTCCTCATTCATTTGCCACAGTGTAGGTGCTGCTCTAGGTGCTTGGGGAAACAGTGATCCCTCCCTTGTGGAACTTACATTCCAGACAGTACACAAGGCAAATAGACAAATTAGTAAAAATGGTTGTAGATTGCATTGATCTGTGAAGGAACCAGTGTGAGGCTGAGATTGCATTAGCTTGGGTGACCAAGGAAGGCTTCTGAGGAGGTGACGTGAAGCTGACAACTAAGACCTGTCATGTGATGGGGCTTCCCTGGTGGTTCGGTGGTTAAGAATCTGCCTTCCAGTGCAGGGGACACGGGTTCGATCCCTGGTCGGGGAGCTAAGATCCCACATGACGTGGGGAAAGTAAGCCCGCGTGCCGCGACGAAAGATCCTGCATGCTGTAACTAAGACCTGACACAGCCAAATAAATCAATTAAAAAAAAAAAAAAAAAAAGACCTGCCACGTGAAGAAAAGCATTTCTGGCAGGGGAAAGAGTAAGTGCAAAGGCCCTGAGGCAGGAGAGAGGTTAGCATATTTGCAGAGCAGAAGGAGGCCAGTGCAGCTGGGGCACAGGGAGTGACCGGAGAGTGTGGCATAAGGTGGGGTCAGGTCAGGCCCTGTAGGCCTGGGGAGGATTCAGATTGTGTGACAAGGAAGGGCAGCCACTGGGAGATTTTCCGCAAGAGCTGTGGTAGCATCTGATTTGCATGTTTAAAGACTCCCTCTGGCTCTGGCGGGGCATGGAAAAGAGAGAGTCTGGGGGCTGGGGTTGCTCAGGGAGACCTGACATGGGCCAGGGAAGTGGAAGCGGGGAGATGGGGTCGATGCTGGACGCATCTTGGCGGTGGAACCGACAGCAGTAGTAGGATATGGGGGGTGAAGGAAAGAGAGGTCAAGGAGGATGGGTTCCTAGGTTTCTGGCTAAAACTGGAATGTTCTAGACCTGTGACTCAGCACCAGAGTCTCCAAATCCTGTTCTTCTGCCTAAAGGGTAAGATGTCTTAGGAGCCGGGCCAGCGGACCCTGTGGGAGCTTAAGCCTCCGTCTTGTTCATTGTTGAAGCCTGAGAGTGCTCAAGGAATGTTTGCTGAATGAATGAATGGGAATTCCCAAGCCCTGCCCGCTCTTTGCCTCAGTTAACCCATCTGTAAAAGGGACTGCTAGTTTTGTATCCCCGCCTTCCAGTTCCTTCCCCGGGGCTCTGGTCACCCCAGAAGGCCTGTGTCCATCTGGGCCGGGAGTCAGGACCATCCACGAGCAGGCCCCAGCTCCCCAGGCCCCCTCTCCAGCCTGCAACCTCAAATTACCTGTACTGCGGTGATGCACCAGGGAGCGTTTCCATCTTGCCTAGATGCGCATGGCAGGCCCAACTCTCCCTTAATGACACCTTGCCTGCCTGCCCTCCTGCTGGAGTAGGAGGGGAGGGGGCCCGGCCCAGCCTAAGCCGTGGTTTCTTTTTCCATTGCGTCAGGCCTCAGGGTCTGGCCTGCCCGCCCGCTGCCGGCTGGCACAGAGGGGCCCACTCTGACCCCCGCCTGCCCCAACTCCAGACATCATGTGCTCCCCGTTTCGGGGATCCAGAAGCTTCCAAGCAGAGGGTGAGTTGGGGATGGGGGACCTGCCCCTAGCTGGGGGAGGAGTGCCCCCTTCCCCGCCCACTCATCACTCACTCTCTCTGGGGCCTGCAGGCTGATCCAGGTGGGGCCACAGTGGGCTCTGAGGACTGTCCCCTGGGCCTGGCCCTCCTGGCCACACCCTCAGCCAGGCTGGAGCCAGTGAGGGGTAGGAGGAAGTGCAGTAACCTAGGCGAGGGATGATGGTAGCTCAGACCAGGGGGAGGGCGGGGGAGAAGTGGCCCCAGAGTGTCCATACCAGCGCTTGCCTTTGCATCTGTTAGCCTGCGGGCATGTGTGCGCGTGCGTATCGGTGTGACGTGCACGAGGAAACGTGGGAACCTGGGTGTGTGTACCTGATACCCCTCAGGTACGGGATGAAAACAGAGGTGTCTGACTTGGCAGTATGGGGGATGGTGGCCCAAATGGCATCTAGCATGTCATGAAGGGGGCCTGTGAGGTGGAGAGGGGTGGGTGAGCTGGAATCCACCCCATTAGTGATGATGGGAGAGACAGGGGTGCGGGCAGGGTAACGCCAGAGGAACTGGTGACCTTGGGGGCGCCGGGGTTTTCTTAGCCTCAGGCTCCCTTTGGCCTGGCTGACTCCCCAGATGCCCCCACCTGGTTCTAGGTCCCCACCATGCCCAGCAGTCCCCTGGCCCTGGCCAGAAGGCCGTACGTTGGCCTGGGAGTCTGGAAAATTGGTTCACAGCCTGCCCCTGTTTCCTGACTGTGTGACATTGTACAGGTGACTTCTGCTCTGAGCCTCAGTTTCCTTATCTGCAAAATGGGGGTGACTCTTGTGCCCCCCACCCCACCCCAGGTAGTTGTAAGCATAAACAGGTGTTCTCTCAGCTTCTGTGTGGACGAGTCCAGCCCCCAAATACTTACCCACAAAGGCCAGGTTCCAACTCCTTGACTAATATCTTATCCCCTGACTGTCGAGTGGGTAACTGGCCCTGCACTGCCCCAGAGGAGGGAGGTGAGAGGAGGCCATTCCTTCTGAGAGCATGAACCCACCTGACCATGCTGACCAGCCCTGACTACAAGCTGAGCACGTCACCCGCATGATGTCTCTGATCCTTATTCACTCTGGCGGGGCAGGTCCTAAAATTGCCTCACCCTCCAGCGGGGGACACTGAGGCTCGTTCATTCACTCTAGAGTGTTTACTGAATGTCTGCCAAGTCCCAAGACCTGTGCCAGAGCTGGGATCCTGCGGTAAGAAGACTACCCAGCTCCAGCCCTCCAGGACCTCATGTTCCAGGCTGGCTGAGAGCTGCGGAGGGCAGCCAGGTCCTGCGGGCTCCAGGCTCCCAGAGGGAGCTGGGGCTTTATTCGGAGAGTGATGGAAGTCTTGGAGGGTTTTAAGCAGAGAGGTGTCATGGTCCAATTTGTGTTTTTCAAAGCCCACTCTAGTCCCTGTGGGGACAAGGGGTGGTTAGACTAAGGAGAGGCAGCAGGGAGGCTGGCGAGGAAGTGGCTGTGATCCAAGCGGGAAGGACCGAGCCACAGTGGCAGTGCTGGGCCCGCTCCCTCTCCCTCTGACCCCAGCCCACCTCCTGAGCAACAGCCCCTCGCTGGGCACACGCAGCCCCGGTCTGCAGGAGGCCTGCGCGAGCGCGGTCCCCTCTTCCACTCCAGACACAGCGCCCTGGGCATACCTGACAGGGAGAGGACCTGGACAGTGACAAAGCCAGTGCTCAGCCTCCTCCCTCCCACCGTCTGTCCCTAGAACAGAACCTCATTATAGTCACACGAGCCCAGAGCATCAGCACAGCACTGCAGTTTGCCTGCAGTATTTATTCTTGTCGTGTAAAAACTAGTTTCCATCGGAGGGGCTGGAGAGCTGCGTGTGTGCCGCAGGGTGGCCGTGCCAAGTCAGGGAGGGATGAGCAAATCTGTGACCCGCCGCGGGGAGCGGGGAATAGGGATGTCCAAAATGGACATCTTGCCGGGTGGCTGATGCTGGAAGGCGGGCCTGGGTGAACTTCAGATGTGCCAGTGGAAATAAGATCTGACCACACCTCATAGGACTGTGTCATGATGTGTCGTTAGCACATGAGGAAACTGAGGCACAGAGAGCTGAGGATAAGGACCAACTCAGGCAAGATCTGAGCGATACGGAGCGTTTGTGCATTCGTTGACTTATACACGTACCTTTTTTTTTATTCAACAAATGTAAGCTGAGTGCCTCCTATGGACCGGTCACTGTGCTTAGGCTGGTGATACAGGATGAACAAGACAGATAATGAACAAAGTCAAGTTTTGTATAAGTGACCAGAAGGTAGCTTCCTAGCGGCCAAAGCACTGAGGGAAACCTGAGCAATTACAAGCTCTGTCGTAGCCGCAAGATGCCGATATGTCAGTTGCTCAGGAGAAGCCCAGGTTTTCCTGGCAAAATGATTGGGATGCCTGTGTCCACTGTGATTTGTTGCTGATCTGACAGGGGCAGCTTGGACCTGGGTGTATCTCACAGGTAAAGACGGACCAAAGCAGAGAATGACTATAAAGACAAACTAAACACACCTACCGGAGACTCCTTTTTCACGCATTTCCTGCATTCTTTCTCCAAGCTTTTGCCCATGTCATCCTCCCCACTGCCACCCTGCCCCACACACACTCCTTCTCTTCCATCTTTAACCACACCTTGAGGGTCAGGTGGTGACGCCTCCCCAGGGTGGAGTGGCGCAGCAGATGTCTGTCCCCTCTCTGACCCCCCCAATGCTGTCCCCTCAGACTGCGAGGAGCTGCTGCCGCCGTTGCCGACCCCCATGGCCTACATGCCGGGTGGAGGTGCCCCAGCACCGGGGGTGGCCCCCGTGGGCTCCCAGTACTGCGTGTGCAAGGTGGAGTTGTCAGTGAGCGGCCAGAACCTGCTGGACCGGGACGTCACCTCTAAGTCTGACCCCTTCTGTGTCCTCTTCACAGAGAATAATGGCAGGTGGAGCGAGGTGAGGCCCCTCTGTGTGCAGCTGCAGTGGGTGGAGGGTGGCTCGGTCGCTGGGGAGGGGCTCTCACTGTATCCCAGGGACCTGGGGTCAGGCCCTTGGAAGTACTTGCAGTGTGGGCCGGGGGTTACTTAGAAAATTGTTATTCTGAAAATCAAATTTTATTTAAAATGTTTATAACAGTACTTAAAATAATTATATTTGTGTTTATTATAATTCATAGATTTATATTTATATAATTTTATATTTAGTGTTCTATAATATTTTAAGTTACTATAATATATAGTTAAAACCTTAGAGTTTTGCAAAATGCTTGCTTTCATTTTTAAAATAACTTTCTCCTCTTATTCCTAAATGAGCACAGTCAGTGAGGAGCAAACAGAGAAATAGGGAACTCAGGCTTTGGTCCCAGAGCTGGACCAAGACCCAGCTCTGTCACTCCCTGCTGTGTGGGCTTGGGCAGGTGGCTATCCCTCTCTGAGCCTGTCTCCTCATCTGTGAAATGAGGATTTTCTTTCCCTGCCTACCTTGGAGAGTCCCAGAGCTGGGGATGTTGATGGTGCCACAGCCAACGACTTCTGAGCTGGAAGACTTTTGCCTGAGGGCTGGGGAAAGATGCAGCTTAAGGAAGGATATTAAGAAATCCAAACTGTTAAGACTTTCAGCGTTTAAAAATGGCTTTGTTTCCTATTCCGAAAGGGGTCTGTATTCATTGCAGTAAATTTAGAAAATCCAGGTAGACCTAGAGAAGAAAATCAAAATGGTTGGGAACCCGCCTGTCAGGGAGAACCAACTGTTAATGGTTTGGTATCCAGCCTTCCAGACAGTTTTACATGCATATAAATTTTCCAAAATATGTTTCTATTTTTCATAGTTATTTAATGAGGCCTCGGTGGGCGTCCCACAGAACATACTGTGGTTTACAAAGAATTTCCACAGATGTTGGCTCCTTCTTGTGATGCCAAGGAAATGGGCTGGGATTGTTGACCCATTTTACAGAGGAGAACTGGGGCCCAGAGCGGGGAGGGACTTACCTGTTTCACCGAGCACGTTGGTGGTACAGCCAGAAGTGGGAGGTGGGGCATGAGGTCAGCCGAGGATTGCTGGGGGAAGCCCCAGGCCTGAGGCCAGCATGTCCAGAGTCCCCTCTGACAGGTCTCCGGAACTCCCCCCGCCCCAGCCCCTCGGGGAGTGATGTCCTCCCCCACTGCACCCACCCCCACTCATGACATGCCCCCCACCCTCCCTGACAATCTCGCTCCCACCCAGGCCAGACACCCTGGCTAAAAATAACTCAGGGCCAAGACCTCTTCCGTCCCTGCTGCTCTCTGGCCCTTGGAAATGGGATGGGTGGGAGGAAAAATCAACACCGCCCAGGCCCTAAAATAGACTGTCACCCAGATTCCGCGGTTTGGGGCCTCAGTGCAGAGAGGCCGGGAGGCGGGGTTCCTGTCCCAGCCCCACCAGAGACCCACAGTGCAAGGCCCTGCCCTTCCCCAGGCCTCGGTCTCCACACTAGGTAGGGGACGCTCGGTTCCTGGTTTTGACATTCCATGGTTTGAGGAAGGTACAGACACCTGCCTCCGGGGAGATGGGGAACCCCTGACCTTACCTCCCCGCTAAGTACCCCTCCTTCTCTCTGTTTCTTCTCTCAGCTTCCATGTAAAATGTGGTTTGAAAAAAGGGTTCTCCCCAAATATAAAGGATGAAAGCCACAGGTGTCAAATCCTTTCATTTTACAGAAGGGGAAACTGAGGTCCAGATGGGAAAAGGGACTCCCTCTGTCACTTAACCTAGGCAGGGACAGGGTCCGACCTCTTACCTTGGAACCTGGGTATGGAGTCAGGACCAGTGTGTTAAAAGTATGAATGGTGGGCTTCCCTGGTGACGCAGTGGTTGAGAGTCCGCCTGCTGATGCAGGGGACACGGGTTCGTGCCCCAGTCCGAGAAGATCCCACATGCTGCAGAGCGGCTGGGCCCGTGAGCCATGGCCACTGAGCCTGTGCGTCCGGAGCCTGTGCTCCACAATGGGAGAGGCCACACAGTGACAGGCCCACATACTGCAAAAAAAAAAAAAAAAAAAGTGTGAATGGTAGAGTCAGGACTGGGTTCAAATCTTGGCCCTGCCCTCTAGCTGTTCGACCTTGGGTGAGTCACTTAACCTCTCTGTGCTTCAGTGTCCTTATCTGTGAGCTGGGAGTAATGATTGTTTCAGCCATCTGGGTAACTGGCCATGAGTGCCTGGCACAGAATTGGGTGTTTAGCAAGTAAGCACCATGATTCCCTGTAGCCCAAGAAGGGTTGAAACAGCTACTTGACTCTGACACCTGTTTCCCTGCCCTCTGCCAGTATGACAGGACAGAAACTGCAGTCAACAACCTCAACCCCGCTTTCTCCAAGAAGTTCGTCCTTGAGTACCATTTTGAGGAGGTGCAGAAGCTCAAGTTTGCCCTGTTTGACCAGGACAAGTCCAGCACGCAGCTTGAGGAGCATGATTTCCTGGGCCAGTTCTCCTGCAGCCTGGGCACGGTGAGCCGGGCTCCTCCAGGAGGGCGGGGTCAGTGCAGTGCTGCCATAAGTCACCTGGCTCCCAAGGATGGGGCAGCCCCCTGGAGAGTCTGCTGCTGCCTCCTTTCCCTGGTCCTGTTTTCCCGCCTGGCTCCTGAGGTGGCATCACAAATGTGGACAGCCTTGGGGGCCAGCAGGCACAGAAAGGGGGAAGTAGGCAGGTGCGGTTGGGGCCAGGCTGAAGTGTTCCCCTCGGAAGACACTGAGCACAGTGCCACACAGGAGTGGGGCGCCCTGTGGCCAGAGCTGCTCAGTGGTAGAAGTAAGCAAGTGTGGTCTTGACTTCCTGGGATGGGAGCATCTGACCAGCAACCAAGACACCCACGATAGTCCCACTTGATGGCTGGCTCACTGTGTGACCTTGGGCATCTTCCTTTCCCTCTGTGGGCCACATTTCCCCCTCCAGCTCACTCCTTGGTGAGCTTATGGAGGTTGCAGGGCTAAGAGCTCCTGATACAAGTTCCGATCATTGTTAATGGCTGTGTGCCCTAGAGCGAGCCCCACACCCTTCTGAGCCTCACTTTCCCCATATTTTACTTGGGGATAGTGATGAGCTCTCTGCCCAGTCTATAGGGATGGTGGGTGAATAAAACGGAAAATGCTTCGAGAGGTTCTAGTGGAGACTGAAAGGCCCTGGGCCTTCCAGGAGATGATGTTCAATGAAAAAAGCAAGGGCCCAGCAGTTACGTAAGAAGTGGGGTGTGTCTCTCAGGGTCCCCGCCATGTGTCTACACCCTCAAAGGGTAACCGAGGAGAGAGCTTTAGGACCAGTGGGCAGGGGCAGGAACCGACAAGGGGTGAGGAAACCTTTACAGGGCTGACACCTGTCAGAAGCCCAGCCACCCCTAGCCTGGAGGGAGGGGCGGGGCAGGAAGTGGTGTCGCCAGGTCCTGGGGAGAGCTGTGGCCACCACGGGGAGGCCTCTGGACTGGAGCCGAGGCCGATGAAGAGCAACAAAGCTTCCGCCAAGGCTCCGCCCAGCCCTTCTCCCCTCCTGCTCTCCTAGCTCCTGCTGGCACCCCCGTTGGCTGGACCCCAACAAGCTGTAAGACAGGGGAGCCAGGTGATGCAGTCCGCAGTGGCATAGAGAAGGTGGAGAAGGGCAGAGAGTGGACCTAGGGAGAAAAAGTAGCACAGGGAGACTAGGAACATGCTCACATTGGCACAAAGAAACACTGGCCTTTTCCCCAAGAAACAGAACTGTGGTGGCACAAGGAGGGTGTGGGAATGGGGTGTACAGAGACGGGTGGGAGGGAGACTTACAATGTGTTCCACTTGTCCTTTCTATATTGTATTGATCCTTGAACTCTGTGTGAATGTATTCACTATTCAAAGCAATGAAAATACATAGGAGTCGTCAGGGTTTGATCCTCTCCATCAGGGGTCACACCCTGAGGGAGGGTGGGGGTCTCTGGATGACTCTGGAGGAGGCAGTTACGTGGCTAACCTCCCTTCAGCAGTCTCCAGAAAGTGAGCCTTACAAGAGCCTTTTCCTGGGGACATCCAGGTCAGCAGAATCCGACTGCTGGGATTCTGTCCCAGCTGTGGGACCTCGGGCAAGTGTCTTAACCTCTCTGGGCCTCAGTTTCCTCAGCTGCCCGGTGGGGTTAGCGGTGGTTGCTGTCTGCCTCCCATGGCGGGGATCACGCAGGGGGAGGTTTAGCCAGCGCCTGGCATGGAGCATCGTGCTGTGAGCAGTGCCTGTTGAGGATTTTTTCCTCCCTGGGTCTCTTCCCCAGCCCTCAGAGTGAGTGCCTCTCCTCTCTCCCTCCAGATCGTCTCCAGCAAGAAGATCACTCAGCCTCTGCTGCTGATGAATGACAAGCCTGCGGGGAAGGGCTTGATTACGGTACGGTACGAGCCCCGCTCCCCGCTCTCTGCTCTCTGCAGGCCCCCCACACACTGCCCACTGCCCTCCCCCATCAATGGGCCACTTCACTGGCAGATAATCACCAGCTTTGTTTGGAGTAAAAAGGCCCAACTTACAACTTAGCAACAGGTCTCTTAGCAACGGGCTCCTGGCTCCACATATGATGTGTTGGGGCTGCCAAACCAGGGAGTGGGGGGCACTGCCAGGGGTGCCCACGGTGGCTCCCCAGGCAGGGGCGCTACTCCTCCTCCCTGGAGGCCTCCAGAGCCCTCCCTGCATCCACTCCCGGCACTGGCCTCTTGGGCGACTTTCAGGCGTTTCAGAGCCTTGCCCACCGGAACTCTGCTTGTGGCTGCAATGCGCAATGATACCTGCGATGCGCAGTGATTCTTGCGATGCGCAGGCCCTTCGAGCGGCTGAGCTCTTCGGTCATTAGAATTCCGGAAGGCGGGGAAACCTGGTTTTACAGATGAGGGAACTGAATCCCAGAGAGGAAGTGCCCTTGGGCGGTTCAGCTAGTGAGGTTCGCTCCTAGATTGTCCCTCTTCAGAGCCTGTGTGACGCCAGGGGTTCTGGAGGGAGGAGGGCTGTACCTGTGTGTGTTCACAGGCTTTACTCCCCTGCCCTGGAGCCTTCCTGGCTTCCCACTGCCTGTGGAGCCATGCATTCCAGGCTGGGAGGGACCCAGCAGTCGCAGCTGTTTTTTACCCCGTTCATGTCCATGGCCTGTGTTCAAGGCAAACTGAATTCTTAGCATACCCTGCACTTACCCCAGGCCCTCATCCACTGTTCCTGCCACCTGGAATGTCCCCTCCCAGCCTCCCCCATCTCTTGGGGTTTAAAACCTCCCCATCTAAATGCCTTCACAAGCCAGCTGCCCTCCACGTGGAAGCCAGCCCAGAAGGACCCAACCCAGTGGGTATGCCAACCTCCAGCATTTCCAGCAGTTCGCCTCCAGACCTGGGTTCTGTCCTCCTGTGAAATGGGGGCAGTAATAGGGCCTACCCTATGGGGTTGTTGAGCAGGTCTCAGCTGGAGGGGGGGAAGGGGAAGGGGAGAAGGGGCCTCTAGCCTGGCCTCTGTCTGTGGTTCTCAGGGTCAAATAGTTCGTTAGGTGAGGCCATCCCAGAGGTGTGGGAGCAGAGGAAGTCCTAGCCGAGGGAGAGCCCTGCCCACTTGGGTTGCTGTTGGCCAGAGGGCCTTCCCTGCCACTCTGGGGAGGTGAGAGGAAGAGGCCCAGAGAGGGTAGATGGCAGCCTCGAGGTCACCCAGGTGGTGCATCACTGGCTGGCCTGGGGCAGAGGGCCATGGCTGATGGGGAGGGCATGGAGGATAGATGAGTGGTGTGAGCTGATGAGACAGCAGAGAAGAGCTCGGGTGGTCCCTTGCCTGCCCTGGGCCTCAGTTTCCCTGGCTGCACAGTGCAGTTGTTAGAATTTCCGACACCTTGGTGTTTTGAGGTGGTTGTGTGTGCTCCCTGGATCTGCAGTGGGGACATGAGAGAGTCTGTCAGGCTGCTCGCTGGCCCAGAGCCTCTCTCTAGGGCTCAAGACCACCCTCCATGTTTGGTCCCTGCTTCATCCCCCCCCCCCGCACCATCTCATGGCCCATCTCTTGAGCCACATTGGGGTCACTTTCTGATTCCTCATATCCAGAAGGGTTATTACCCCCATCTTCCAGAAGATGGAAACTGAGGTTTGAGGAAGACGAGAGACTCGTCCCAGGTCACCTGGCACTACTCTTCCCCACCACTCCCCTCCTAGCCCTGGAGAATTGACTCCTGGGGCAACCTGTGTCCAGCCTGCCTGAACGGAGGCCAAAGGGAGTCTCAGGATAGACCCCGACCCCCGACGTTCCTCTGGCCTTACAGATTGCTGCCCAGGAGCTTTCAGACAATCGGGTCATCACGCTGAGCCTGGTGGGCAGGAAGCTGGACAAGAAGGTGAGGCAGGCAAGGGAGGGGGCTTTCCATCAAGGAGCAGGAACCCTCCCCCAGCCCTGGGGTTGTGTGGCCTGGGGGTTCTGGCCACCACCTTCATTGCCCCTCCAGGGACAAGTCCATAGCACACGGCCCTCCTGCCACCCCAAATTAGGACTGCTTCACCACTGAGGTAGTGAGTTTCCTATCACTTAGAGATATTCAAGACATGGCTGGAAACCCACTCGTTGGGGCTCCCCATCCCACGTAGTGTAAATGCTAGGGTCCTTACAGTAACCTACAGGACCCCACCTGATGTGTCCTCAGCTCCCCCCGACTCCCTGACCTCACCCCTTCTGCATTCCCTACTTTCATTCTGTTTTAGCCAAATCAGCCTCTTCATTGTCCTAGGATTAAACCAGGCACCGTCCTGCCTCAGGACCTTTGCACTTGCTGTCTTTTCTGCCTGGGATGTTCTTTACCCTGAATATTCTCATGACAGGCCCCTCTCTCACCTCCATGTCACCTCCTAGTGAGGCCTTCCCTGAAATTGCAGTGGTCCCTGATATCCCGCCCCCTCCTCCTTTGTCTCCTTAACACTAATTGCTGCCTCATGTGTATTACTTACTCATTTATTTTATGTTTCCCCCTCTTGAATATAGCCTCTTTAGAGTCCATGTTTGCTTAAATAAATGGAGTTTTAAAGGACTCTTCTGCTAGGATAGTTTCAGTTTTTCAGAATCCCACTAAAATGAATTAAAATCCCATCCTGCTGGGTGCCTCCCTCTGCCCTGGGAACAATCTCCCTCTTGACGTCCTGCCCCACTGAAGATGCTGGAATTGTAACGTCTACAGGCTCCAGGTCTTAGGGTCTCTGAGCCCAAGCTCTGGTAACCCCAGGATGGGGCAGTTTCTCCCGGGGCTGCTGCTTGGTCCCAGGGGGCTGCAACTGCCCTGGGCGTCTGCTGAGCCCTGCAGAGGCTGAGGGGAGAGGGGCCAGGCTGGCTCTGCCCACAGCCCTCACTCCTGACGCCAGGTGTGGGAGGCAGTGGGGCCACACCCCCACCCCATCTGAATCCGGTGGAATTATGCCTTCCTCACCCACATCCTCCCGCTTCCTCCAGGACCTCTTTGGGAAGTCAGACCCATTTCTCGAGTTTTATAAACCAGGAGGTGATGGCAAGTGGATGCTGGTCCACAGGACTGAGGTGGGTGTGTGGGGCTCCAGGGGTCTCTGAGCCAGTGGGTCTGTAGTCCAGCCACACCCAACAGCTCAGGACGGGGCTAGGCAGTCACAGCCCTGCGGTACACAGGAAAACCCAAACTGGCCCCTAAAGGACTTGTTCCCTCCCCATCACAGGGATGCTCACTTCCATCCCCAGAGGCATGGCTGTGGGTCTCTCCACCTTGCCACTCCCTGTCCCGTTGGGCTGGCCCCACCCCAGAGCTGTACTGGCCCTGGGCCTGAGTTCACCCTTGCCTCTCACTGTCCTGCAGGTGATCAAGTACACTCTGGACCCCGTGTGGAAGCCATTCACTGTGCCATTGGTGTCCCTGTGTGATGGGGACGTGGAGAAGCCCATTCAGGTGAGGGGGGCTATGGGAACCCTGCTGCCCACCCTACCAGCTCTGGCCTCTGGTTACCTGAGGCTTCCTGGGGGTGCCTTGGCAAAGCTCTGGAAAAAGAACCCTTGTGGGGGGAGGGGCAGGAGACCTGAGTCCTTGTCCCAGGTCTGCCTGACCCTCTGAGTGATCTGGGCAGGGCCCTCATCTCTGTGATTCCCTTGTCTCAAATGGGAACAGAGTGACTGCTCTTTTTTTCCGGAGGGCTGTGTTCTGCTAGCTAGGATAATGAATGCAGAATCACCTTGGAAACAGCCAAGTGTTGTTGCTGTGATGAAGGTGATGATTACTAGTCTCTGAAAGCCCTAAGTCCTCAGGGGCCGTGTCTGAGAGCAGACGAGGTGGGGCGAGGCCCTGAGACCATGTAGGGATCCCCAGGCAGGGCACCAGGAAACTTGGGGTCTAGTTCTGGGTCTACTACTGCCACTGTGAGACTTTGGGCAAGTGCTTCCCACTCAAGGCCTCAGTTTACCCATCAGTACAATGGGTACAACAATTCCTGCCTTCCTTCTAGGAGTGTCATGGCAGCTAAGTTAGAGAGCATATCAAGCTGGGACTTTTTGTGCCCATCTCAGGAAAAAATTAGCAGTCTAGGGAGGACTCCAGACCATGGCCCATGAGGCCAGGTGGGCCACCACCCAAGATAGATTAGCAGCCCAGTGTCAGGTGTGTGAGGTGTGCAGCTTCCTGCTCCAGAGGGAATGGCCTCCATTACTAGAGTGGGCACCCTTTCTCCTTTTCCCGGCAATCATGGAAGGCTTCCTGCAGGAGGCGGTTCAGGAGCTACCGGCATCATCCCAAGCCAGCTAGTCAGATCTGGAGGGGAGAGGGAGGTACCACCCCCCAAAAAAGGCATGGGATTTGCTCAGGGAGCTGAGAGGAGCTGGCGAGTGCCTCCTGTGGGGCAGCTCTGGGGTGACTCGCTGGACCCACTCCAGGTTATGTGCTATGACTATGACAACGACGGGGGCCATGACTTCATCGGTGAGTTCCAGACCTCGGTGTCACAGATGTGTGAGGCTCGTGACGGCATCCCGGTAAGATGTGCACATGTGCGTGACCCCAGGACCTCGGCAGGGGATGGGGAAGGGGCACAGGTTTTTGAATCAGGCAGACTGGGGCCCAGATCCCACCTCTCTGCCTTATGACCTTGAGCAAGACATTTAATCTCTCTGAGCCTCAGTTTCCCCATCTGTCAAGTGGAGGCAGAAGAGTAGAGTGGGAATTAAATGAGATTAAACAGGTAAAGTACCTAGTGCATAGTGAGTACTTGGGGGAGCTGTCTATTTAACTCTGAGAAGCCAGGCTCTGGGCAACAGTTCTGGGTGCATGAGTGGACATGACATGGATGAGTTGTCTGGGGATGGAGGGCAGATGCACATCTTCTGACCTTGGGCAGATATAGCTTGGCATGAGCCTAAGGTGGCAGGAAACATTTCTGGGGTGGGGGGCTTCCTGGAGGAGGCATGCTGCCCCTGTGGAGTAGATTCTGGGGCCCAGGAGAGGGTCAGTCCCCACAGAAGCCCCAAGCTGAGCTCCTCTTTCTTCTGTGTTGCCCAGCGGGAGTTTGAGTGTATCAACCCCAAGAAGCAGAAGAAGAAGAAGAACTATAAAAACTCGGGCATCATTATCCTGCGTTCCTGCAAGGTGAGCCAGCATGGGTGGGCATGGGGCACAGTCCCGGTTTGGGGGTCACACAGAGGTATATCGCTGCACAAGAGACAGAGCGTTGGGTTTGGAGCCGGCAAGGCCTGGGTTCAAATCCTGGTTCTGCCATGTCCTGGCACTGTGACCTGAGCTTAACCTCTCTGGGCCTCAGTCTCCTCATCTATAGAATGGGAAGGTTAACAAGATAAGCATGTAAAGTGTTAGTCTCATATCACATTCCTTTGTGGAAGTCAAGGAGGGCATGCGATGACCTTCCAGGGTTTCCTTGTTGGAGCGTAACTATAGGGAGTTACTGCTTCCCAGGCTTGCCCATTGCCTGTTCAGCATCAGAGGGGCAGAGGATATCAGGCCAGGGTGACCTGTGCTCTGGCAGTGACACTAGTGAGGGCTGAGGTTACTGGCCCGTGGTGTAACTGGGGCCACTGAAGTCCACAAAGACAATGAAGTTTGCACCGGCAGTGGCCAGGCTGAGGTCAGGGGCCAGGCCCCCCTGGATATCTGGTGGCCACGTATCTGCTGGAATCAGGTAGAACGTTAAGGAAGGCAGCCCAGGCCAGAGCAGCAAGGACCCTGGATGCTGGGCCTGAAGGTTCCAAGTCCTGGCACTCTCTCTACCAGCTGGCCAACCCCAGGCCTCAGTTTCCTTGTCTGGAGACTAGGATTTACGTGAGCATTCAGTGAGGTCACAACGTAGCAGTGCCCTGTAGAAGTTAAGCTGGCAGGTTGCAGCATCATGATTTCGGGTCCTTGTTTCTGAAACTTGGGTCATTCACATCCCTCTTCATGATTTTTTCCACCTGCCTTATTATGTTTTGTATTCAGCCCCTCCTCCCCCCATTTTGGTGTCTTTTTTTACTTGAATACATTTATTTTGAAAGGAACCTTTCTAACGCCACCAAAATTGGAAGGCCAGTATCCTTTGCCAAAAGGAGGCAAAGACCATCCAAACAAACCATGTTTCAGCAGCTTTATTAATTATTAATTTACAGCAGAAGGCCTTGAGCCAGAGGCCTGGCATCTCTCTGTTCAAAGTTGAGGTTGGTAAGGGCTACACTGGGCCCTGGGACACTGCCTGGACTCATCACGCGTGTGTGTGTGTGTGTGTCTGTGTGAGAGACACTGCCTGGACTCATCGTGTGTGTGTGTGTGTGTGTGTGTGTGTGTGTGTGTGTGACACTGCCTGGACTCATGCGTGTGTGTGTGTGTGTGTGAGAGAGAGACACTGCCTGGACTCATCATGCTTGTGTGTGTATGTGAGAGAGAGAGAGACACTGCCTGGACTCATCATGCGTGTGTGTGTGAGACACTGCCTGGACTCATCATGTGTGTGTGTGTGTGAGAGAGACACTGCCTGGACTCATCGTGTGTGTGTGAGAGAGAGACACACTGCCTGGACTCATCATGCGTGTGTGTGTGTGTGTGTGTGAGAGAGAGAGAGAGAGAGAGAGACACTGCCTGGACTCATCATGCGTGTGTGTGTGTGAGAGAGACACTGCCTGGACTCATCATGCGTGTGTGTGTGTGTGTGTGTGTGTGTGTGTGTGTGTGTGTGTGTGTGTGTCCCACCTATTGGTAACCATTGCTCTGAGTGCTTTGTTATAGAGGGATTTGGGTTTTGTTGTAATCAGATCAGGTCCATCTGCCTTTTTCCGCCTCCTTGACCCCTGTCAGGGCACAGAGCAACAACTCCCCAAAGGTCATCTGTGGAGTGTGGCCAAGTGAAGGCGAGCCCTCAGGTACAGGGCAGGGGCCCACTCACCCCTCTGATTTCTTCCAGATAAACCGGGACTACTCCTTCCTGGACTACATCCTGGGAGGCTGCCAGCTCATGTTCACTGTAAGGCTCTCCCCCATCCCAGCCCACCCCAGTGAGGATCCTCCCTAAGGGCTTGGGCCATGATTGCAGCAGGAGGGACTTGGGATAAACTTCAGGAAGGATCCTCCCCAGGGCAAGGGGTGTGTCTGGCCAGAGGAGAGGGTATAGGTGGATGGGCCTGAGTCAGGGCTTAGCTGCAGGTCAGGGCCTGGCTGCCCAGCCCTCAGAATGTCACTGGTTACACTTCCTCAGAAGGAAAAAAAGCCAAATTCCTCCCCACTTCCCTTCCTGCCTCATCTGCTATGCCCTCATCCTTGCTCACTCAGCTCCGTCCACACTGATCCTCCCCCAACACACTAAGCTCTGCTCTGTCTTGGGGCTTTGCATTTGCTGTTCCCACTGCCTGGAATGCTCTTCCCCAGAAACTTCTCGGCTGCTGCCCTGCCATCCTGCAGGCTGTGACACAGAGGTCACCTCCCCCTGATGCCTCCTGTTCCTCGTCACTTCTCCTGTTCTATTATCTTCAGGGCACTCGCCACTCTGAATTTTCTTAAGTATTTTTCACTTGTCCCTGTCCCACTAGCAACTAGTGACTGTGAGTGTCCTGAGTGCGGGGCCACTGTTTTTTTTTTTTCCCTCCACCCTCGGTGTATCACTCAGTGCCCGGCACATAGCACCTGCTCAGTATATGCTCATTGGAAGAATGAATTGTCACTCTGCCGGTGGCCTGGAGTGTATGCCCCATAGACTTCTCCCGTTCCTCACCCGAAGGGGGGCCTCAAGCCCAGAGGAGAACTCCTGCCAGGGTCCCATACTCTGCCCACCTCCCACCTAGCCTCCCTGCTCTCTATCACTGCTTCTGATCCCATGGGGGCTGGAAGTCATCTGCAGGACTATAAGGAGGTGCAGAGGATTGGCCTTGTTGACCTGTAACCCCACTGGTCACCACAGCCCCCCTCCCCTGCAGAGAGTGAAAAAAGGCCTCGAAATGGGAGTAGATGAGTGTGTGGGTTGGGACAGTGAGGGGGGAAAAGGAATTTGGGGCTGTAAGTTGGCTTTGTGTCACATCTGGGCAATAGACTATGCTTGGGCAACAGGGAGCCACAGACGGCATTAGAGCCAGAGGAGTAATACAGTCAGACAGTTTCCAGGTTTTGGACCATCTTTTGGAAGGGTGGGTCAGGGCTGGGAGATGAAGTGGGCTTCCTGTGTCCCATCAGCCTGTCTGTTCCCTGGAGGTGAGACAGGGAGCTGGAGTCTCTGACCACACTGGGTGGCCTTTTCCCCCACTCTGCAGGTTGGGATAGACTTCACAGCCTCCAATGGAAATCCCCTCGACCCTTCCTCTTTGCACTATATCAACCCCATGGGCACCAATGAATATTTGTCAGCCATCTGGGCTGTTGGGCAGATCATTCAGGACTATGACAGGTAAGCTTGGGGAGGGACTCTGACTAGTCAGCTTGGGCTCCATCCATCCTGGGAAGTTCAGCTTTTCAAAGCTAGAAGGGACCCAGAGATCATCAAACCTAGGAATGAGTAGCATAGGACATGCATGCAGTTACCTGTGCATACCTGTGGCAGACATTGCTAATCAACTGCTGATCTCTGACTTACTGAGCCCAGATCCATACTGAGATCCTTCTCCACACGGTACACCGAGTAAGAAAATGAGTCAGGATAGAAAATGAAATTTGTTTGCTATTGCTGCAACCTCCACTGTTAGAGCTGGGGGAAAACAGGCCTAGGATGTAGACAGAGAATTTATCCAAAGTCACCCAGATCAAGGAACTGGAACTCAGACATTTTGATTCCTGTACCCGCCACCTAATGGTCTAACAGTCTCACTCCTGTTGGGAACTTCAGAGGAGCAGCCAGCATGTGTGGATCCTCTTCCCATGACCACGCTTCCTGGAGATCTTTGGGTGGGGTGGGGACAGTGGAGAGTCAGGGAAAGCTGTGTAGAGGGTGTGGCCACCAACAGGCTGGGCCAGATGCAAAGTCAAGAGGGCCTTGGAGGATCCAGAAGTCACATGAGGGTTGTGATGTCATTGTCACAGATGATGCTTGTTTGGACCTCCAGATCAGAGTGTGGAATGACCAGGAGGACACATGGGGAGCAGGGGAGAAAGGAGCAGGTCCCACAAATTTGGTAGGAACAAGAGCAGGCTCAGGAATCCTGTGTGCACTTCAGCCTCCTTGAGAGAGGCAGCCTAAGGTGCAGCTTCTGACTCCCAGGGGGCTCAGGGCCTAAGGGGTGGCTGTGACCCCAGGCCACATTAAGAGAGGTACGGCATGCAGAGCAGGGGAGGTGGAAGTCCCCACCTGCATGGTCGGGTGGAGGAGCCTGCTGTTGCTGCTCCAGAGACCCTTGTATCCAGCTACCCACTCAGCCCCTTTGCTGAGCCTTCTCATGGGCATTCAGGTGTTACTGGACACTTGCTCCACCCCTACCCCTCTTACCCTCTTCCCCATCTCAGGGAGAGGCACTACCACTCACTGAAAACCCTTCACTTCCTTTCTTTCCCTCATCTCCCCCATCATTCCTTCAGGAAATCCTTTCAAAATATGCTTGAATCCAGCCTCTTCTCCCACCCCTACTGCTACCAGCCTGTTTGAGCCACCATCACCTCCTGCCCAGAGCGGTTCAGTAACCTTCTCACTGGTCTTCCTGCTTCTGCCCTAGTCCCTGACAGTTTGTCCTCCACACAGCAGCCAGAGGATTCTTCAATAAATACATGTTGAATGAATGAACAAATGAGATACAGTCCCTGCCCTCAGGGAGATCCCATTCGAGGAGGAAGATAGGGAAGAAATCAGTGGGGTTCCAAGAGACCAGTTTACATGTGAGACAGGAGCTATGGGAGCACCAAAGAGAGAGGCATCCTGGGGTCTCAGGGAAACCCACAGAGAATGGGCCATTTGAATTGGGCCTTAGAGGATGAGTAGGAGTTTGCCACAGGGAACAGATTGGGAGAGGTAGTTCAAGAAGGGGTGCAGTAGGATTGAAGTTGGAGCATGAAGATGCCCTGTGTGTTTGGGGAACAGTGAGTAGCCAGTGGCCAGGGCTGGGGGAGTGGGGAATGAGGGAGGGCAGGTAGAAAATGAGACTAGGCTCTTGGGCTAGATGATGAAGGGTCTTGAACGCCAAGCCAGTGTTCTCATTTTAGAATTTTTCCCAGCCATAAAAGGGACGTCAAGAAACAGCCAGTACATTTCACTTGCATCATGACTGTGGTTTAGTGATTGCCAAGGTCCCCGTTTGAGAAGAATCTAGAAGCTGTACTCAGGCCCATGGTTAGGAGTGCTGTGGTTGATTAGCAATGTCTGCCATAGGTGTCAAGCCTTTTATTCACCAGATACCCAGAAGTGGGTTTGGGCTCAATAGATCATTCAAACAGAGCTTTTTCTAGAGGTGGTGAGCTTTTTCTTTTTGTCTGTGGAGGTATGCAAGGCAGAGTGGGCCCAGCCCTGGGTAGGGGGTTGGGAGGGTGAGCGTGGGTAGATGAGGCCCCGTCTGGTTGTCTCATAGTATTTTTTTCTCCTTTCTCTGATTAGTGATAAGATGTTTCCAGCTCTTGGCTTTGGGGCGCAGTTACCCCCAGACTGGAAGGTAAGTGAAGCCAGACTGTTTTCCTTTTGGCTGAGATGGGATTTGCATGTATGGCCTCTCTGGGATCTGCTTTGGAAAGGTTGGGCTATGGCCCAGCTGCCCTGCCTTCTCTGCGTTTACCCCAAACCCACACGCATTTCTCAGCCTGAACCTCGTGCAGGCAGTGGGGCTAGAACAAGGAATAAGTTATGATATCTGTCCCCTGGTACCCCAGTCAGGTGGGGAAGATGCTAGATTTAGCAAATAAAAATACAGGATACCCAGTTAAGTTTGAATTTCATATAAACAAGTTGTTTAAGTATGTCCTAAATATTGCCTGGGACATACTTAAACTAAAAAATTATCCATTATTTATCTGAAATTCAAATTTAACTGGGCATCCTGTATACTGTCTGGCAGCCCTAAAGACAGGCAGTGTCATCAGTGCTGAACGGGGCAGCAGTCCCTAGAGGAGGGCCCCAACCTGGCCTGGGGGTATCAGGAAGGCTTCCTGGAGGAGGTCAGGTCTAAGCCAAGAGGGTAAAGGAGAGTAGGAGTTCGCAGAGTGACTTGAGGTGGTGATGTGGCAGGTAGAGTTCAGGGCAGAGAGAATAGCCTGTGCAAAGTCTGGGAGGCAGAGGGAGCAGGGTAGTTGGAAGAACTGAAAGAAGGTGGGCGTGATGAACTTTCCATGAAAGATGGGCGGGATGGGGAGAGATGTGGCTGGAGAGGTGGGGAGCCAGCCGTGCAGCAAGCAATGGGTGGGTCTACATGGGGTGTTATTGGCATTTTTGAAGGCTCACTCTGGCTGCTGAGTGGGGACTGGCTGGGGTGATGGTGGGCAAGATGGAGGGATGGAGAGAAGGGACAATGTCCATTACAGGTGAAGAAACAGAGGCTCAATGACTTGTCCAAGGTTACGTTCAAAACAGGGAGCCTGAATTCCATCTGGGCAGGTGGACTCCCATGTCTGTTCTCAGAATGTGCTACCCTTCTGATGAGAAGCCTGGGGCTGTGGGCATAGAGGACTCCTCAATCTACATGTATGTCAGCCAACGGCCCCTCTTGTCTGCCCTGCTGTTTCCAGAGTGAGCGTTCCCCTCACATCCTCTCCGGAGAGGGCAGTTTTCACCTAGAATTTCAGGGAGTGGCTCTGTGGCCTGCTGGCTGTTGTATGGTAGGGGGCAGGACCCTGTGGCACCACAGCTGGGCCTCTGGGCAGACACGGTGATGCCACTGGGGGCAGGGCGGGCTGGTGCAGCCAGGCCCAGCACTATCTCGTTGCTAGGACACCAGCCAGCTTCCAAAGAACTCTGGCTGAATGAGATGTTTTCTTGTGCAAAAGCCTCCTTGGAAATGTCACAGGGCAATTCTGGGGAGGCTGGGGCTTGGCCAGGCTGGAGTGCCCGGTGGTGCCAGGAGGGATGCTGGAACGAGGCTTGGAAAGGGCAGATGCTCTATCCCACCTCCCCCTGCTGCTGGAGCTGGCCAGACCTGGCCCCTCACCTTCCCTCTCATTCTAACTCACCTTGCCGTGCCACATGAACCTTCTTCTGTTCGTTCCTACCTCAGGGTCTTTGCATGTGGTCTTCCCCTGGCCTTTTGCCCCCTTTCACTGACTTCCCATTGCTGCTGCTTAGCCGAGAGATCATTTCCTCTAGAAGGACTACCTTGAGCGTGCGCACATGGGGCCCCTCCTCCCTGCCTCGGAACTTTGTGGTCACTTTGTATGTGTTGATTTGCTCATTGTCTCAGGGAGGGCACTTGGTCTCCTTCTTGCTGTGTCTGGCTCCAGGCATGCAGTACGTGATTGTTGACAGTAAATTTGGGGCCCAGGGGCCTGAGCAGGCAGAGGTGTTGTTTCTCTGAGTGTGGGAAGTTGGAAGGAGCGTGCCACTCAGCTGCCTGCCCTCAGGACCTCAGTCCCTCCCTGGGCCTGGTCCAGGTGAGCCCCAAGAGGACCCCTGACCTGGGTAGTGGCTGAGGGACTCAGGAAACATTGGCCTTTCAAAATGAGCCAGAGTTGGTCAGATGAAGAGAGGGATCAGGCTGAAGGACAGGCCTGCACAAGGTCTGGGGTGGAGAGGAGCACAGTTTATGACTCTCCCCACTTTATAGATGGGAAAACTGAGGCTCAGAGAGGATGGTCACTCTGAGATCCCTTCGACTCTCTCCATGCCACCATCTACTGCCCTGCCAGGACCAGAGGGAACAGCCTCTTAAGTAACTCAAGACCATGGGCTGGGCCTGGCCAGGTGGGGTGAACGGGACCATTGATCGTCAGAAGGCAGCAGGGAGTCCCAGGGCAAAGACCTGTGGCTGGCCAGTCCCCAGGGGCCCCTAATCGGCTTGGGGTGGCCTCCAGGAAGCTTGTCGTGTTTGCTGGCATTTCTCGGGCAAACTAGGGCAGCAAGTGTGGGAGGGGGCTGGGCTGCTACAGACAACGTGAACTCCTGTCCCCCAGATCTGGTCCCGGCTCTGCTGTGGCTCACTCGTGTGACCTGGGCATTCCTTGGCCCCCTCTGAACCTCAGTTTTTCCACCTGTGAAGTGGAGCTGCTGGGTGGAGTAGATGACTTGGGAGGCCTCCAGGGTAGATGGGTAACCTCCCACAGCCCCACCCACTTGACCACCAGGCCCCACTCTCCCCTTAATAGAGGAAAAAAAATGGAGAAGTTAGAATTGGGGTGGCTGAGAAAACAGAATATTAATCCATCCCTATCAGGAGGGGGCTTTTCCCCCTTGGTCTGTAAAATCTCCTAAAATCTGATTTTGCAGGAAGTTGTTGGCCCAAGGGAGGCCTGTTTCCCTGGCAACCATTTTCCTCTCTCAGCCCCCTCTGTACAAGCCCCCCTCTTAGTCACTATAGAGGCTCATGAAGTTTCCATGGCAACAAGGACCTCCAGCCCCCACACCTGGAGCCTGGGCTGGGGACAGGGTGAAGAGGGCCCCTGGGTAGGAACAGGGCCCAAGAGGGGCATCAGGGGAATGGCTCCATGTCAAGCACTTAGGGCTGAGGGAGCAAAGAACAGAAAAGCCCATTCCCCTGAACAGGTAGGGGTCTTCTCCTCAGGCTGCCAGGCACAGGGCAGTGATGGGGTGAATTCCTCTGCTGAGTCCTTCCCGTCTTGGCCCAGAAGGGCTCCCCAAGGTCAGCGGCCCAACCCCTTTACCAGGTTTGAGGGACCTGGGCCTCAGGTCTGTTCTTCTGTGTGGCCTCAGCACCTGACTTCCCCTCTCTGGGCCTCAGTCAGTTTACTTGTAAAATGCGGATGTCGGGCTCGGTAGGGCCTCCCAGCACCCCTCTGCAGTGTCTCGGAGCTAAAGCGTCTGCCTGGGATTTGCGCCTGGACTGGAGCGCTCCTCCAGCCTCCGAGGGTGGGGGTCCCTCCCCCCTGGACATCTCTTGACCCTCCCATTTAAACTCCTCAGGGGAGGAACACCTTCTCGGGTTAGTGGGTTTATGGATTGTGAGCTCAGGAGGCAGCCTGATTTCAGTTCTAGTCCCAACTCTCCCCTTCAGTAAATGGGGGAACATTCTGGTCCATTCTGTCTTGGTTTTACATCAGAAAAAGGGAGTAATACCAGGCCTTTGTCTGTTGGATTGTTGCAAGGAAGGAGTGAGGGGATGCTAGCAAAGCCCTGAACGTAGACTGTGGCACACGGTTCACAGGGAAGGGGCCGAGTGGGGGTTTTGACGGAGGCAGCAGGGGAGGGAGGGAGGATGGTCCTACCATCTGAGCTCTGGCCTCTCCTGAGGCCCTGGGTTCTGCAGCCACTGAAGTCTGACCCACAGTCCTGAATGGGGTCTAGTTATCAGTCCCTCTGTAGGCCAGGGGCATCCGGGAGTGTGCAGGGTCAGCCTCTGATGATGCCCCCGGGCTAGGGGCTGGGTCTGTAGGAACTGGGACAGGGCTCTCTATTCCCTGCCCTTCTGGCCCCATTATGCTTCCTGATCCCCCAGTCCAGCTGTAAGTGGGTTGTCAGCTAAGCCCCAGTTTGGCTCGCTGGCATAAGGTGGGCTCCCTTCCAAGCACTCGTGCTTATTAGTAGGGTGGGGGAAAGCACTCAAAGCCTGAAGAAGTGGAACTCTAGTTATAGCCCCACCACAGTAAAAGCAGGTGATGAGGGAGCACTCCAACTGCTCCTTGAACCCGCCACCCTCAGATGCATCTCCACCCTACTCAAGGACTCTTTCTTTTCCCCCCGGCTGCTTTGGGTCTTCGTTGCTGCCTGTGGGCTTACTCTAGTTGCGGTGAGTGGGGACTACTCTTTGTTGCAGTGCGCATGCTTCTCGTTGCAGTGGCTTCTCTTGTTGAGCTCTAGGCGTGCGGGCTTCAGTAGTTGTGGCACGTGGGCTCAATAGTTGTGGCTTTCGGGCTCTAGAGCGCAGGCTCAGTAGTTGTGGCTCAGGGGCTTAGTTGCTCCGCGGAATGTGGGATCTTCCTGGACCAGGGCTTGAACCCGAGTCCCCTGCATTGGCAGGCGGATTCTCAACCACCGCACCACCAGGGAAGTCCCTAGGGACTCTTATAGTGGGGGCGAGGAGGCATAGACAGCCCTGACCCCCCGGAAGAGATTGGGGTGGTGTGGAAGTTTCTGTTTCTTCTGTTACTGAGGGTGGTTAGGCCTGTCTGTGGGTCAGACCCAGCAGTGGAGGTGAAAGCAGATGCAGGGGTATCAGTAGCCTTGACCTGGGGTCAGGGTGGCAAAGAGCCAGGTTCCCTCAGAGGGAGCCTTGCCTGGCAGCAGGTGGGCCTGGGCCCAGGTTTGGGCCAGGAGGCTTTCAGCTCATCATTTTCTCTGCATTTCAGGTCTCCCATGAGTTTGCCATCAACTTTAACCCCACCAACCCCTTCTGCTCAGGTGAGTGTCAAGCCCACCTGCATCTGCCCTGGGTTTACGCCAGGCCTGGCCATCTCCCTGGGCAGATGCGGGGGAGGAGTAGTGGTTTCTGTTCTTTTCTCTCCCCTCCCCTTGCACTTGCTCAGTGTGGCAGATGGGGAGAAGCTGGAATTTGGAGTCAGGTGGCCCTGGATTCAAGGCCAGCTGCTGCCCTTTTCTGGCTGTGTGACCTCGGAGAGATCACTGCACCCCACTGGGCCTCTGCCTCCTCACCTCCCTCAAGGAGGTGTGATACCAGGGTAGCTCACCTCACTGGGTGGTCAGGTGAGAATTAAGGGAAGTGCTGGCATAAAGCCCTGTGTAGACCAGGAGGAGGTGAGAGCAGCAAATTACACACCTGCCTCTCACCTCCCTTCTGCCCTCACTGGGAGGGCCCATTCTTGTCCTGCCCCACCATTTCCCCACCTTCCACAGGGAGCCTTGGCACCTAAGGATTGAGCATGGCCTGGGCAGGGGTGCTGGGCAAGAGGGAGGGGCAGGCAGCGTACATGGTGTCTGTGCTCTCCCTGCCCCAGGCCTAAGAGGACTTCTGAGCCTCCCAGAGTCAGTTAAGAAACAGTGAAAGAGAAGGGGCTCCCAGGTGGGTATGGAAGAGGGTGGTTCCTGACACCATGAGAGCTTTCAGCCTAGGACTTGCCTTGGGCGTAGCATCTACCTTCCCTGGGAATCCCTGAAGCTGGGTCAGGTTTGTACTTGGAAGGGAAATGCATCAAGTCACCACGATGGGGATGATGCTGTAACTCAGAAGCCATGGGCCTCTGTTGGCTGAAAGCGTGGCCCTGTCCTCCTGCTGGGGCCTGTCTGGTTTGGAGTAGGTCTGCCGAGATGTTTTATCCAAGTTCAGATTGGTCAACCTCATCTCTGGCCAGAGGCCTTCTGGACAGGACAGCAGAGCAGGGGGGTATTCTTAGCCTTGTAACGGTGGCTATTTACAGAGCACCTACTGTCTGCAGAGCTGTGCAAGCATCTCAGTTCCCCCAGCAACCCTGAGAAGCCATAGCGTGTCCAGAATGGACCTCCAGGTGGCTCCCTGTGACCCCAAAGTATTACCGCAGGTTCTGCCCGTGCCTTCGCTGGGAGGAGCCTGCTGGACATCCTCCTGCCAGCTTCCCGAGGGTGTAGATTACTAGTCTCCTTGACAGACAAGGAAACAGGCTTAAATAACTTCCCCCAGATCCCACAGCTAAGAAGTGGTAAAGGCAGGAATTGGAACTAAGGTCAGACTCCACGTTCAGGGCTCTTTACACCACTCTGGCCCTGCCCTCCGGAGCTTCCAGTACCACAGGGCCCAGACTGGCCACGGCAGGGGGCATTTGGGGTGGGCAGCAATTGGGATGAGAGTGGGTGCAGGGTCAGGGAGGACCTGGCTGATCCAGAGTCTTCTCCCCGAGGCAGGCGTGGACGGCATCGCCCAGGCATATTCGGCTTGCCTGCCCCACATCCGCTTCTACGGTCCCACCAATTTCTCTCCTATCGTCAACCACGTGGCCCGGTTTGCGGCCCAAGCCACGCAGCAGCAGACAGCCATGGTGAGTAGGTGATCACTGGCGTGGACGTGCAGGATAGGGCTGGCACAGGCTGGGCCTTCCCTGCCAGATGGAGGTCTGTCCTTCCTACCCTACCCACCCGTGGGGCTGGCTGGCGAGCTGGATGTTCTGCCTCCCCTTGTTCTAAAATCCTAGGTGAGCCCCGGCCTCTCCACCTTAGTTTACTAGCAGGGATGGGAAGGGGGTTGAAAGCAGCTCAACTTGACTGGTTCTGGATTCCTGGAGCACAGACTCCAGGACAGACAGCAATTCCATCCGTTCGGTGCTTAGTAGGAAATAGGGGCTGTGATTAATGGGAAGTGCCTCCAGGCAGAGGGAAACCCGGAGACTGTAGTCCCTGCAGCCCTCAGGCTGACCCTCTGGGCCACCCAGTTCCCATTAGAGCAGCCGCCACCTCACGCTGAAGGGTTTGGAACCGTCTGGCCTGGGTCCGGCGCTCAGTGACGAGGCTCAAGCCTGAGGCTGCCAGGGCTGCTGTGTGGCATCTGGAATATATGGCAAACGGCCATCCTGGGCAGCTGCATCCCAGGTCCTCTCCCTGCACCTAGCTCCAGGCCCAGTGCTGGAGTCACCAAGGGTCACCTTGCCCACCTCGCCTGCCATCCACCAGCCCCTGCCCCAGGGCTACGGCCCCGAGGAGCTGAGCCAAGTCTGGGAACCCAGCACCCGGCCCTAGGGTGGTGGAGCCCGGGCTGGGACGTGGGTCCAACTCCCACCTGACCAGGCCCCCGAGCCACCGCCACAGCCTCTGCCCCTGTGTGGGCTTCCTCCTCCCCTGGAAGGAAAGGGTTGCTGCACAAGTGCTGAAGTCCTTTCCTGACTGTCCTTTTCACTCTGCCTCCAAAATACTATCCTCAACTCGCTCGCTTCCCGATTACCACGGCCACTGTCATCTCTCATTGGACACCACGGCCGTCCCCTCACCCCTCTTGCCCCTCCTATCCATGCTCCTGCTAGAGGGTCCTTTAACTGTGCACATCAGATCCTACCCCCTCCTGGCCTCTCCTTCCCGCAACCCCACACCCCTTCTTTTACTTGTGACCATTCCACCACTGACCTTGTTCCTATTCCTCAAAGACACCAAGCTTGTCTCCCAGCAGATCCTTTGTTCTGCCGTCTCTTCTGCTTGGAGGTTCTTCTCTCTCCCTGGCTTGCTCTGTCCCATCCCTCAGTGTCCCTCAAACGCCACCTCCCTGCAGCCTTCCTTGCCCACCCACCTGAAACCTATCTCCTGCCTTCTCTGTTTATTCCCGTCTGGACTCTGATGACGGTGGCAACATCTCCTTCACATACTCCACGTTTCTGTCTACTGGGTGTCTCCCTGGTTGGCCTCTCAGCCCCACAGTGTTGTCCGTCATCTACTTGGTGGCCCATGCTGTGGCAGACGCTCGTGTTCTGTGGGAAAGGGGGTCCTGGGGTCAGCCTGCCAGGGTTTGAATCCAGCCCCTGCCCATCCCTCACTGGGTGACCTGGGTAAACTTACCCTCTCTGAGCCTTGTTTGTACCATAGGAATACTAATAGGACCTACCTTAAGGAGGTGGTGTTAGGATTAAATGTGATAACACAACAGCTGGCACCCTAAGAGACCTGAGGATGAGGAAGGACAGGTGGCAGAGCATTCTGGGAAGAGCCCCCCAGGCAGAGGGGATGGCAGATGCTAGTGATGGAGGTCAGTGCACGATGTCAGACTGAAGATGGTCCTGGTCGTTTCTGCTTCAGGGAGTGTGACTTGCTCTAGTCCTGGTCTTGGTGATGGCAGCTGAGGGCCTGAGACAAGTCCCTTCCTGCCCTGAGCCTATTTCCTTTATGAACTGGGACAAGTGGGGAGGACCTGGGAGTGGTGTTTTAAAATTCCTGGGGTGCTGGGCTAGAGCTGTATGGAGGAGGCAGAGTGAGGGGTAGCCCCTCAGCTTGCACACCCTTTGGATGCCTAAGCCAGCCAGGCCATTGTCCCGCCCAGACTTATCTGCCTGAACCAGCTTTCAGAGGGATGGAAGAAAGGCCTGCATTCTTGTTTAAGGGAAAAAAAAGGGGCGGAGCAGGAATGAAGGCCAGTGTTCCTCTCAGGCTCTTTCACCTGCCAGGCAGGGGCAGGACTGGGCAGGAGATGAGGTCCTGGGGAGAAGGGGCCTGTGTCTGCTGGATCCTAGGGGAGGGGCTTGGGCCCTGGGGACCACCAGGAAGGTGTCTTTGCATTCTGGGGAACAGCTGCTGAGGGCCCTCTAGAGGGAAGAACTGGGCCCTTTCTGTGAACAAGTCCTAATCCTCACAGTACCCCAGCCGCTTTCGTCATGACCAGGTCCTCCCAACCTGAGGAGGCAGCCTTCCCTGGCTCCCTCACACTGGGGAAGCGCTGTTACCCACCCCAGCTGTGTGACTTTCGGCCAGCATCTCTGGGCTGCAGGAGGCGAGCCAGGGGTCTCTACTAGCCTCTTCTACTCTGATGTCCAAGAAGATACAGATAATTCTCTACCTCCTGCCTTTACTCCGTCCATCTCACCGTGCACTGAAGGTGGGGATGCCTCAAGGTTTGGAGGCCCATCGACCTGGTTCAGACCCCAGCTCCCGCACTTCCTGTGTGACCCAGAGCAGGTTGCTTATTAAGCTCTCTGAACTTCAGTTTTCTCACCTGTACAATGAGGATGATGGAACAGTACCTGCCTAATAGAAGCATTGCAAGGATTCAACCAGCTCAGCATCCAAATTGCTCAGCACAGCGCCTGGCACACAACAGCACCTAATAAACGTGAGCGGATGAATCTTCTTAGGACACCTCTTGGGCCGGCATTTGGTGATGCTGAGCCCATGTAGGCCTAAGGCAAAAGGAAATAATTTGTGCATTACCTGATGCTTTCATACAGCTGCTTGTGTGGCTTCATCCTCCCTGTCCCCCACACACGAGCATGCATGCACACCCACGCACAGGAAATCAAGAGCAGATGGTGGAAGCATCTCTCTAGGCAGGCCTGTGTTCTCCCATTCATTCACGCAGCTCATCTCTACCGCGTATGTTTCTCTGCGGCACTGGGGAGACCATGATGCGCAAGCCAGAGCCTCTGCCCTTCCAGGACCTGTGGTCTTGTGGGGAGCCAGGCCAGGAACAGCAGCTGTGATGCCAGCCAATTAAAACTGTGATGACAGAATTATAGGATTATGAAGGTGGCATCTAACCCGACAGAGGGCTCAAGGCAGGCTTCCTGGAAAAGTGATGTCCAAGCTGAGACTTGGAGGATGCTTAAGAGTTAGTCTCATAAAGGGTGTGTATGTGTGTGCGTGTGCATGTGTGGAGTGTCCCGGGCAGAGGGAACAGCATAGGCAAAGGCTTGGAGGCATGGTGTGTGGTGTAACTAAGGGAAGGAGTGTGATATAAGAGGGGTGGGTGGGGGTGGATGAGGTTGAGAAGGTAGGCCAGCTCCCACAAATGCCTTTGAAGCCAGTAAGGAATCTGGATTTTCTCTTAAGGGCAGTGGGGAGTCACTGAAAGGTATTAAGAGGTTGGGTGGTACCAGGGGACTCCTACTGTGGGGCCTCATCCTTCCCTCTGCTCTGACCCATGTGACTTGGGCCTTCCCATCCATGGCCCATTGATAGTTGGCTACCTAGGCACCTGGTGCCATAGTGGAGGGGGAACTGGGAAGCAGCCAGCACCTTGGAAATTTCCCTCCACTCCCCAAGGCCCTCAGCAGCCAACTTCTCAGAAGTAAGCTAGGGATGAGTGCAGCTTCCCCGGACTCTGCCTGAAACTGTTGTGGTCAAGTCAGTTTCTTATAAATCAAATCACATGTTAAATGCATTAGGGGAAGTGGCTATTTACAGCCCTAGAAGCCTGAAGAACCTCTTGGGTAAATGCTAGAGATACTCTGTCCTTGAAATGTGTTGGAAATTTGGGGTTTGGGTTCGACCTGGCAGCAGTTGACTGTGTTTATGGAGCCCGCACAGGGTGCCAGGCCCCTGAGATGCAGAGGTGTGAGGGGAGGGGCTGCCCTGAGGAGCTCTAAGGGCATGGGGGGAGAGAAGTATCCAGAGAAGCCTGCCCCAAGGGGTAATCGCTGGCAGCGAAAGCAGAGCTCAGGGCTTGGGGGAGCCCTCACATCCACTCGGGATGGAGGAGTAGACGCTCAGAGAGGTCTTGGAGCTGTGGCTGGGGAGGGTACGCCAGGCAGAAGAAAGTAAACCAGGAAAGGCATGGAGGTGGGAAAGCTTGGGGTAGGGTAGACCAGGACTATGCATGGGGACAGCAGAGGCTCTTCCCACCTCCTCCTGCCTGATTCCACCCTTTTCTCCCCTTCCACAGCCCCCCCCCCACCGCCACCTCCCCTCTGTCTTGGGGATGGGATCATGGACCCCTAGGGTTGCAGTAGACCTTAGAGGCTACTGGACAACCTCATTTTTGCCTGGGATGGGCATGAAGCCTAGGACTTGTCAGTGGCACTTCGCTTCTCCCTGCCAGGCCCCACTATTGGAGAGACAGCTACTGGCCACTGCTGCCATTGTGGAAAGAGCCCTAACTTTGGAGTTAAGGCTTGGGCTTGAATCTCAGCTGTGCCATTCCTGGCTGTGAGTCCTTGAGCAAGTCACTGAACCTCTCTCAGCCTAAGCCTGCCTCCCCAACCTCCAAAAGGAGAATCCCAGCGTGAGGATGACACGGAGCATGTGTAGTCACCACCACCGTGACTCACCTTTTCAGTTGGTGCCTACTGTTCTGCAGGAACCCAGGCCGTGGGGAAGAAGGCTCCAAGGCTGTGAGGGAGGCCTCTGCCTGCATGCTCCAAGTCTCCTAATGTAGACACGTGGCTGGTGGAAAGGGAGAGCCAAGAGGGCCATGTGGGGAGGAGGGTGGGAGACAGCCATCGGAGCTGGAGGGGGCTTGGAGACCAGTCCCACCCCGAGTGGTGAGGCCTGTCACCCAAGGCCAAGTATTCTTTTCTGTCCTCATTGCTAGGCCTCTCAATGCCTTCTTCCCTCCTGCCAGCCTAGGTGCCCCAGAAATACTGCCATGGACTATTTTTGGTGGGATGGAAGTGGGGTTAGAGGGCCACTTAAGGAAGGGGTGCTGGCTAGAATGATGGTGGGCTATGAGGGGACAAGGGTCTGGATGAGCTTATGAGGTGCCCCTCAACCCCAGGAATGGGGACTGGCAGCAGCAGCCCTCCACTACAGGAATTCGGGCTGCCATCTCCATAGCAACAGGTATCCATCCCCAGCCAAGCTTTCGGCCTCTTAAAGGTACTGTTCAGGAGGAGTTGGACTACTGCTGTCGAGGGTTGGGGGTTAGGATGGTGGCATTCGTACCTCCACATGGTTCATTCCTTTCAGGTTGTGCTTGGGGGATAGGCAGGAGAGCTAGGCATCCTCGATGGCTGAACATGTGGTCTCTGTATGTTTCCCAGGGAGCAAATGGCTTTGCTGGGTGAGAAGGTGGCCAAATGATGACTTGGGGGCTAGCTTGGTTCTGCCCTTTTTAGCTCCATGACCTTGACTAGTCTGGGTCCCCGTTTCCTCTCCTGAGAATCAGAAGGGTCAGAAGAGAAGGCAGAAGCCCCAAACAGAGAACATTAGGGCCACAAGGGCTTTTCTGTTCATCTTAAAACTTAAAAACTGAGTTCCCCAAAAGGGGCCAGAGGATGCTAAGCACAGAGCCGAGTTGAAAATGAGGTCTTAGGCAGCTAGGAATGCTGGGGCTTCCAGTGAGATCATCCAGTGAGATTTCCTGAACTTCATTCACTCACTTCCCACCTCCAGTCTATGCTATGGCCACCTGTCACCTACACTAATTATTCATATTTTTTTCATGTAAATAATTTTATAAAGAAACTATAACCCACTCTAAGGGAAAAGTTACTTACCACTTGCCATAGAGAGTAACAGTAAAAATAAATACACCAGGCTGCAGAGTGGTGTCAAAGTCTACCTAGAGACTGCTGTCCCTGGAGCTCTGAGCTTCCTGCCTTTTCTCTCTTTTTTTAATAAGGAAGGTTAGCAAGAGGGACACATAAGCACCAAACTGAGACTGCCTCCTGGGTGCAGTTTGTAGAATTCAAAGACCACTGCAAAACCAATACCCTGGGCTTCCCTGGTGGCGTAGTGTTTGAGAATCTGCCTGCTAATGCAGGGGACACGGGTTCGAGCCCTGGTCCGGGAAGACCCCACATGCCATGGAGCAGCTGGGCCCGTGAGCCACAATTACTGAACTTGCGCATCTGGAGCCTGTGCTCTGCAACAAGAGAGGCCGCGACAGTGAGAGGCCCGCGCACCGCGATGAAGAGTGGCCCCTGCTCGCTGCAACTAGAGAAAGCTCTCGCACAGAAACGAAGACCCAACACAGCAAAAATAAATAAGTAAATAAACTCCTAGCCCCAACATCTTCTTTAAAAAAAAAAACAAACCAATACCCTTTCCACTGTGACTGATGCTGTGTCTGGGGTGTGCCTCCAGGTCTGCTTGTTGCCAGCAGAGTCCCACAATCCCAGAAGCACTGACCTAGATGATCTGCTTAGCTCCTGCAAGGGGTCTCTGAGGCCGGCTGTGGTAATGGGGAACGAGCAGCATCACAGGTGTTCACGTGAAGGTGGAGCAGAGAAGGGGAGGCTGCTCCCAGAGTCCACAAGCCAGAATGCATATTCCTCACCAGCCGCGGGCCTCACTCTGCCACAGATGCAGCTGTCGATTACCGAGCCAGCGTGGTCTCTCTGAGAGGTGCAGGAATTCCCACTTTGCAGACGAAGGAACTGAGGCACGGCGAGTTGAGTCAGTTGCCCAGAGTCCCACGGTGTAGCCACTGTCAGAGCCAGGCCTGGAGTCTGGGGCTCTCAAACCCCCAAGCTGGGGAGTCTGACATTACACAGGGCAGGAGGAAGAGAGCAGTTTGTGCTTCCAGCTGTGACGGAGGAGAGGCCTACAGGGCCCAAGCACTGAGAGGTGGCTGCCTAGGGAGGTGGCTAGGGTTCAGCAACAGCTCGGGGAGACGAGCCACCTTCCTCCCAGGGGTCAGAGGGTTTGGGGAGATTGGGAAAGGACGGAGGGGAAGGGTGGCCAGGGGCCGAGGGCTGTGCTGAGCGCCTGTTGACCCCCTCCACAGCAATACTTCATCCTCCTTATCATCACGGACGGTGTCATCAGCGACATGGAGGAGACGCGGCACGCCGTGGTGCAGGCCTCCAAGCTGCCCATGTCCATCATCATCGTGGGCGTGGGTAACGCCGACTTCGCTGCCATGGAGTTCCTGGACGGGGACAACCGCACGCTGCGCTCCCACACAGGGGAGGAGGCAGCTCGCGATATCGTGCAGTTCGTGCCCTTTCGAGAATTCCGCAACGTGAGTGTGGGCCCGGGCTGGGGAGGAGGCGGTTACAGGACCCCAGCAACCATAGTTAATAATCCAGAATGAAGGCGCTGGGATTGTCTGCCCGATCCTAGGCTCCTCTACCCTCAGCTCTGTTGACTACGTACCTCCTGAGAGCCTACTACCTGCCTGGCACCATGCAAGGCCCTGCCCCCAGGTGAGGCCATATGACAGTTGCATGAGCACTTGCTTCAGCAAGCTGACAGAACTCAAGGGAGTAGTGCCCAGTCCAGACTGGGGCTCCAGGACAGGGGTTCCCGGAGGACCTGCCCTCTAAACCTGAATCAGAAGTCGGCGTCATCCATGCGGGGGAAAGCACTCCAGTAGAAAGAGATGAGAGTAAGGCCCAGAGGCGTGAGGGGCTTTCCAGGAAATCAAACCTCGCCAGCCGCCTCTCTTCAGGTGGAAAACAGGGCCCATCTTAGGATGGCCTCCTCTCCCTGAGGGCCGCTCTAGGAGGAACTGGTGGCCTCCCTTGCTCCTGGAGGTGGCTCTGGTCCTATCTGCAGGTGACCCAGGTCTGCTTACAAGGAGGCTGGCATTAGCTCCCTGGTTGCTGTCCTTGCAGCTGGGCCCGCAGGCAGCCCCAGAGGGATCAGTCTGTCAGATGCCAGCCTGGCGCCTAGCTTTCATTTGACCAGAGGCACACTGTATAGCCTCAGGCAAGTCCGTGACCTTTCCTCCTGGCCTCGGCTGCCTCAGCTGTAAGCCTCAGGGTGCTGTGGCTCAGGTCCTGGGAGCCAGTCCCAGCAAGAACTGGCCACTCTGATTTGTAACCACTGGTGCTCACATCTCTGCCCAGTACCCTCTGGGTTTGCCTGAGCTAGTTCAGTTCCTTCCTCTCGAACGTGAGCTTCCTGAGGACAAATGCTGGGTGTTGGCCACCCAGGCACTGCATGGACACTGAACGAGCTCCTGGTGTGCCCAGCCTGTGACTGGGTGCCGAGCAGTGAATCAGATAGTCACAACCCCTTAATACCAGCCAAGAAGGTGCTCAGGAAATGTTTGCCGGATGAGTAGGCCGTGCAGCTCACCTCCACCATCTCTTTCCCCCAAAAGCCTCCCATAGACAGATTCATCCTGAAACGTTACTCCTAGGCACCTCGAGTGCTCAGGTAAGAGCTGCACTTAATGTGAAGGAGAGCACTGCTAAGGGTGGGATTTCAGGCCTGGGCTGGGCTGAGGAACGCTAGTTTTAGACAGCTCTGGTCCTCTGCTCTGGTTTTGTCCTCCAGGGACACCTTCTATACCAGCTCCCTGGGCATGGTGCCCCTCACCACTTCATCCAATGATCCTTTCTCTCTCCTCTCTCCACCCTACCCTGCAGGCGGCAAAAGAGACCTTGGCGAAAGCTGTGCTGGCAGAGCTGCCCCAACAAGTTGTTCAGTATTTCAAGCATAAAAATCTGCCCCCCACCAACTCGGAGCCTGCCTGAGTGCCAGCCCCCACCCAGCAGCAGCATGCCGGCTGGGCCTCCCACCCTCCCCAGGAACATGCACGCTCACCCTGCTTCCTTGTGGGTGGCCTTTTTTTTTTTTTCTTTTAAACTGATCCACATTTTTATTTTCTACAACTGGACCTCCACACCCCCAACTTCCTGCAGCCCAGCTGGGCTTCCTTTATTGGAGTCGATTGATGATACTTCCAGGCCAAACCGGCTTCCTCTCCTCCTCTCCCCACCCTTGCCACTCTTAAGTATTGAATGTACTTTGTATAATTTTAGTGGAATTGTTATTAAAGAGAATAAAATTTTTACAATCATAACTGGCTTTTTCCAAGTAACTAGCTGCAGACTCAAAGGAATGTGTCCCCCTGGTGCATGCTGTGTGGTAGCCTGCACCTAATTCCTACTCTGTTTTTTAATACCGTGATCGTGTTCTACTTGTTATACTCAGGGTAATAAAGGAGTTTCAGATGTCCCTGTGTCAGCTCCTTCCTCAGCTGGGACCTGATGGGCTCACTGATCTGGGAAAGGAAACATGAAAACCCCTTCCCCCCAGCAAGCCTGTGAAATTGGTATAATCACTTCTACTTGGGGACATGCATTCCACACAAACAGTAATGCAGCTGTTAAACTGGCACAGAATTTGGCACATCATACTTGCTCAATAAATATCTGTGGGGCAATGAAATGCACGGTCCCTCCCCAGCCTTCTAGGCCCCAGCAGAGCCCATGCTGGCCCAGCCAACAGCACACGGTGCCCCACCCTTCTTCCTCGTGGTCCACGCTGTCTTATGTACCCCACTCCACCACAGCAGTGGCAGTCGCTGCCACCCATGTGCTCCTCCTGTAGGTCTCTCAGGCACTGGAGTACACCCTGTGGTCTGCAGCATGTGAAAGCCTCTTTGGCTTTAGGATGCTAAACAGGGCTGCTTCTGTCCCTGCTGCAGCAGCCGTTGGTTTCTATCACACACCCCACCCTGGGCTTGGGCCCAACCTCACGAAACCAGCTAGGTGACGCATCTCTGAAACCCCAGCCGTCTGGCCTGTTCCCTTCTCTCCTCCAAAGAACACATCTTTCTCTTTTATCTACTTCCTCCTTAGAGCTCCAGTCAGCCCCTTTGCCACAGGCTCATGTGCAACCAACAACTCACATTCATATTAATAAGCACATTACAGGCATAATCTTTAACCTTTCCACCAGCCCCTGCCTGTGACCATTTCAGAGATGAGGAAACAAGCAGAGAGGCTAACTGAATCTATTAGAGGCAGAGCCAGAACTCAGCTCCATGTCTGGCCAACTCCACAGAGCCCACACTTGTTCCACTGCACTGAATGTCTTCCCGTGACTATGGGGGAGTCTTCTGCTCAACCTGCTGCTGACTTTGTCCTTCCCCTCCAATGAAACTGGGCAGTCAGACATCTCGACCTACTCTCCCAGGTCAGCAATTCTTACCAGTGGTCTGCTAGACCTGGCTGGTGCGCCAGGGAAGTTCCTAGCTCCAGGTGCCTGGTAAGCTCAGGAGTCGGTGTTTATCTGGTGGGAGCAAGCGAGGGACATCTGTATCCTAGGCTTCCAATCCTCTTCTGATTCCGTGGCCACCAAAAGCCAGCTGAAATATCCTCGAGGGACACCTTCACTTCTCCTGAGAGGGCTGCAGGACTGCAGGGAGCCGTGATTTCCTCAGGGACCTTTGGGAAATCACAGCACAGAAGCCCAGAGGCCAGCTTGGCACTGTGGGTAGAAACCCAGGACCAGCGCGTCTGCCTCCTCTGGTTCACACCCAGCCCTTGCTCAGGATAGCTGCAAGACTGCATGATGGTTGAAATAACACGTGACTGCTTCCTTTACCCTCCCGTTTCGTAGCTGAAGTGTCTAGCTGGATGTCAGATCCAGGGAAGTTTGTATCCAGCCTGGGGGAATCTGTCAAGTTCTGATCGACCAGAGGCCTCTATAGTGGAACAGCCTTCTCCTCCCAGCCCCACATCCCCTCCTTAGCCCCTCAGGGGATGGGTGTATTGGGGCGACACCTGATGCAGACCTCTCCCTTACACCCCCCCATGGGAATAATTTACCAGATTGGTGAAGCTATGGAGACTGACGTCTACTGGGCCGGGTTAAGGTAGACTCCCTGCCTTGTATCAGGGCCCATCATAAATGCTCCAACTCCTATGGACCACCTACCTCAGTGTGGTGCCGGCAGCCCCCACTTCACAGCTGCATGAGGGAGCAGACCCAGCCATCTTTCTTCCCCCTTCTCTGCCTGAGGTTGGGTGGATCAGTCAAACAAGCCTTCTACTCCCAGCTGGTTTGAGTTCACCAGGGAAAGGAATGTCCTGAACTCCTGACCAGGCAAACCACCACTTAAAAAACAAACCAAGATAAGTTAAATCTTGGGGATGTAATGTGCAGCATGGTGACTATAGTTAATAATAGCAGATTGTATATTTGAAAGTTGCTGAGTAGATCTCAAAAATTTTCATAAGAAAAATATGTTTTGGTAACTATGTGTGGTGATGGATCATTTCACAATATATACAATTATTTAATAATTACATTGTACACCTGAAACTAACGTTATATGTCAACTGTATTTCAATAAAAACAAACCAAGCCTTGGTGCTGCTATTTGGTTCTTGCACATGGACAGTAGGAAGAAAAGTGAACTTGGAAATCTGACTAAAAGGCTCCTTTACCCGTGAATCACCTCCACTGAGGCGTGGGCACCGGCATTTGTTTTAAAGTTTCATTGAAACCACAGAAAACCCGACTTAGAAATAAAGGCTCAAATTAAAATTCTGGTTCTGATACTTACCTGTGTGACCTTGGGCAAGTCAGTGAATCACTGTGAATTTCGGTTTCCTCTATAAAATGTAGAGAAGGGCTGTTTCACAGGACTTTTTTTCAGGATGAAAGACACTACAGTCTGCAAACATCTCAAACAGTGCCTGGCTCGTCCGTAGTGGGCCCTCAGTAAATGCTCACCGATAAACAAACCGACATAAGGGATAATGATGTGCATGACCATGTCTGAAACAGTGAGGTAGATGCCCAGCTGATGGCTAAAGCTCACAGTGGAGGTTGTCTCTGGGTTGTGCTGCCCACGGCTCTGTGAAACTGATGCTGGGCCACCTTCTGCCTATTAGTGCTATGACGCTCCCTCTTTCCCTAAACCATTGCTCCAGCAGGTAAGGGAGCAAAATATCAGCCCTTGCCAGCATCACTAAGGCATAAATGGGCAACTGGCTTCTTGTGTTCAACACTATGAAAGTGTTGCCAAGATCTAGCCTCCCACCAAGCAGAACTTGCATTCCATACTGTTACGTGTAAGTGGGCTGGGCACGCCAAGAAATCAAGAAAGATCCAAGTCCAAGTGATGGTGCACTGCCGCTGAGCTCTCTCTCCTTTTTGTTTTTCTGGAGGGGCTTAAGACGACAGCTGAGCTACATACCCACGGTTAGGACACCCGAGCCAAGGAACTGGGTGTGCCTGAGCAATTAACATTTAGCTAAGAGGGAAGCACACAGCAGAAGCTGGTGGTTGGAGCTCTGATGACCAGATCCAACCCGTCATCATGTCAGTGTTCTACCTGCAACTGAGAAATGCCAGTAGGATGGATAAACCTGCCATAAACACCACAGAAGCTCTAGACGATCTACCCAGAAATGGGGGAGGCTGAGGGTAACAGTACTAATGAGGATGGTTACCATTTTCTGAGCATCAGATACCACATCAAGTAGCTCTTATAGATCCTCTTTCACCCTCACTAGGAAGTTGGTGTCCTGATTCCTATCTACTGAGGAGGAAACAGAGGCCTGGAGAGGTTAAGGACTTTGCCCAAGTGATCCAGCTAGTAAATGTCTGGCTCCAAGCTCATAGCCACTGTGGTGTAGCCACAGAAGGGGGAACCGAGTTGAGATTCCTGAGAGGTAGCCAGAAGGGAAGAACCCACGAGATAGAAAGAAATGAGGACCCAAGAGACTAGCCTAAACCACTCCTAGTTAGGGGCTTTCAGTCTAGAATGCTCCTGAAAAAGTCTAGAATGCCTTCCCAACTCTGTGTTTGAGAAGCCAGCTTTCTCTCCTCCTGGGTCTGGGCCCAGGGAAGGCAGACATAAACAGGTCACCAGCCAGCTCTGTGGGTCCAGTCACATTGCCCTCCCTGCTTTTTATAGATGGAAAAACAGATGCTGTGGATTTCATGCTCCCTTCCTCCCCACCCAGGTGGGTGACAGGGCCAAAGGTAGATGCTAGCAGGAAGTGCTTGAGAGAGAGGCCGTGGTATGACACAAGCTAGATAATCCAGATAGAGCTGGCAATAGGATTCCTCAGAGACAAGCTTTCTCCCTCACATGGTTCAAAGTTGTAAGAAGACTACCACTCAGGACAACGCAAGCAGGTTTTAAGAAACCACCCCAAACCTTGTTGTTATCCCTTATTACCTAGTTATAAAATCCCAATTATCTATTAAGGCAGGAGAGCTGCATCTTGTGATTTAAAGCAGTGTTTCCTTCCATCCCAGGTTTTCCTATTCTTCTTTGGGTTTGAAACACACCGTCTACACTAGATGTTTTCCAAGGTGACTTCTTCTACTGGGAGACCAGACTTCCTCCACTGGGAGACCTGCTTTGCTGTTCATGGTTTCTACAGAACCTGTGCCTCAGCTCTAGGGCTCTCTGCTAACAGGTACGGTGAAAGATGAAATGATCACTGGTGATTCTCAACTTTTTCTGAGATACCAAGAGCAGAAATCTCAGTCTGATGAGTCTCAACCTCCTTGACACAATCTAGCTGTTACAGTAGATGGGGACGGAGGTGGGAGCACAAGATCCCATATAAGAAAAGCAAGATCTTATTCTCTGACAGGTTTATTAGCTTTCAAATTAATATAGGTTTTTAATCCCTGCAACCCTTTGTCAACTTCTCCCAACATCAACAGAGGCAATGAGGTATAGTAATGGCCTCTTAAAAGTCAAACCAGCGACTTCCCTGGCGGCCCGGTTGTTAAGACTCTGCGCTCCCACTGCAGGGGGCATGAGTTCGATCCCTGGGGTCAGGGAACTAAGATCCCGCATGCTGTATGGTGCGGCCAAAAGAAACCCAAAAGTCAAACCACATAAAGATGGTGACTTTGGTTCCTCGGTCTGCCTCCTGAAATGATCTGACATTGCTCTGGGTACGGGCTGTAATAGCAACAGCACAATTGCAGAACAACGAAGCAGAGGAGCAGAAGGTGCCTACACAGTTTTACCTCAACGTCTTGTTTGTAAGGATGGAGCTGATGTGCCTGTACTGACAGTCAGGAACAATTAGCACAGAGTAGCTCTGAAAAGGAAAAAGAATTCACAAGCCATCGGTTATGGGTGAAGGGAAGTCACCATCTGCCAGCGGGCACCAGAGTGTCACTGCTTTGGGAGGGAAAAGGAGTGGGTTTGGAGGAGATCCAGGGGCCTCTGTGCCCACGTTAAAACTGAGTAGCTTCTCTGCCTGCCAGCATCACAGTGTCAACACATTCTGTGTGTGCCTCTCCGTCTCACACCCAAGGAAGTAGAAACAATTGACATAGGAACCCAGCGGAAGAAAGAACCGTACAGGCTCACTCTTCTGAAGCAGGGGAGCCTACAGCTTTTTGTTGTTGTTAAAAGCTCATGGCCTACCTCTGTCCTCAGGGCCTCCACACCTTGTCTCCCCCTGCCCTTCCCTGCCTCCCTTTAGGGGATGGAGGTGGAGCAGCATGTCTGGGTCTTGGCTGCTCTGTATGGGAAGGGAAGAGCAGGAAGGGCAGCAGGTCAAAGCAGAGGAAAGGACAAGCGTAGCACCTTTAGTCTAGAAACAGCTTCCATAGTTAGAGGCCACAACTAGAAATGTAGCCAACAGAGAGGGGCCTCAACAGGTTAGAGCCAGAATATGCAGGTGGGTCCCCCTGGCTTGCCATATTAGAATTCCAGGAGCTGCCAGAAATAAGTCACCTCATCCACACACCTACCAGCACTTCTGATCTCTGGCTACAACAAAATAAGGCCTATGTTTGTTTCTCTAAGGTTTAGAGTCTTAAATGGGATTAGGTGGAGGGAGATGGAATAGCCAAGGGTAAGGGAAAACTTCACAATGAACCATGAGTGTTAAGTGACACCCCCTGCAGATGTAGTTTAGAACCTTTACTTAGTCACACAACATCAAGAATAGGTTAGTTCCAGGGCAGTGCGCCATTCCATCACCTGGGACCTTCTCTCCCCCCTGCACACTCCACAACACAGTATAGTCAAACGGCGCCTTCGTCTAGAATAGAATGTTTTAAATGATACCTGTTCAATAACTGTCCTTGCTTCTTTGTGGCGTTGGGAAAGGAAAAAAAAAAGAAACAAAAAACAAGAAAGCAACAGAACCCAAACCCTTTGCAAGCCGCTTGGTACCTATCTTCCCAGGGCATTCTTAGTGGAATTTCTGCTGGGCCCTGACCTCTGCCCTACTACAACAGTGAGGACAGAGGCTGTGGGACAGGTTTGGGCATCCATACTGGAGTAGAAAGAGAAAACAAACACAAGTCGGGCCACAAGTGGATTCTGGCACATTTTTAGATGAGGTTAAAAATGTCACGGTGGGCACAGGGAGCAGGCAAAGGACTTTTCTGTGGGAGGTAATGCCTGTAGGCAGAATAAACTGTCCAGTCTATTCTTGGGGAGGAGCTCCCTGCGGTAAGAACAGAGGAACTAGGGGGCCTCGAGGAAGGTGTTGGTTCGGAAGATGGAGGAGACGATCTTGCCAGTGGCGTTGATGGTGCCTTCGCTGTCTGAGCTGGACTCAGAGTCGCTGCTCCCAGAGTAGGCACCCAAACCTGGGAGGATGCCGATACAGACGGCAGCGGAGGGGCAGTGGATGGAGGGACCACTCAGAGATGTGCTTCCAAGAGACACGCAGGAAGGGGCTTCTGCAAAAAAGGAGGCAGGACTGTTACTTCATCACCCTTTTCCAAAGGTGATGGTGTGCTTTCCATGTGTAGAGGGCTTTATGTTGGAAGCCTCAAAACAACCCTATGTAGTCAACACTATCGCCATCCTCATTTTTTTTTTTTTTTTTTTGCGGTACGCGGGCCTCTCACTGCTGTGGCCTCTCCCGTTGTGGAGCACAGGCTCCGGACACGCAGGCTTAGCGGCCATGGCTCACGGGCCCAGCCGCTCCGGGGCACGTGGGATCTTCCCAGACCGGGGCACGAACCCGTGTCCCCTGCATGGGCAGGCGGACTCTCAACCACTGTGCCATCAGGGAAGCCCTGCCATCCTCATATTAATGTTCCTCGTTTTCAACTGAGAAAACTGAAGCCACAGCAGAGAACATTTTAAGACCATGCAGAATATCACCAAGTAGCTGGGGCTCTTTTTGCCCCAGGAAACCCAGAGTCACAGCAGCACCTCCATGCAGAAAGCCTCAACCTAGAAAACACAGGACTTGAAGGTTAG